GGCACTCACCTGCCCTCCTTCACCCACACAACCAGGGAGATCAGCTTGGTGAGCATGGACCTGCTTACAATGGAGGCTGCTGGAAGGGCTGGCATGGCAAACCACTCTTCCTTGACCCGGCACCCGCAGGGGACTAGCTAAAGCTGCAGAGGACAGCGGGTCTGTCCCTCGAGCCCCTTGTCTCCCATTGACCTTCTCAGCTCCGGGAGACAGCTTGGCCTTGCTGTAAAGCAGCTCATGTGACTGCAGTAATCCGCAGCCAGTAAACAGCTGGGCAGGAAGATTGCAGAAGGAGTCGCCCTATTTTCCCGCACTGCGGGCTCTGCAAGAGAGCATGGGAGCCAGGCGGCTGGTGCTCTGGACCCACTTCCCCGCATGATGCCTTGGCCTCATGGCACAGCCACATCACCTGCTCGCCTCCAAGCCCAACTCCCACCAGGCATCCTGTACACTTGGACAGGAAATAGCCATTTAAAGTGGGCTCCACCAGCCCATCAGCAGAGCAGCGCATTTGGAGCAAATCCAGCCACAGCTACAAAACGATCTCGTAGCCGGAAGGCGCCTGCGTCAGCGTGAAGCTGCTAAATAAACTGTGGTTTGCGAGAGGTGATTGCTGCAGAAGTGGCTTCCTCTGGGCCCTTCCCAGATCTGCACCTGAATCTGACTCTTTCCCCACCCCGCTCAGAATAACACCCCTGGGCTTTGTTATTTCCAGCCCTAAATAACTCTCTTTTGGCGGAGTCATGGGCCGCTAACATGCTCGGCTAAGGAGGCTGCTCGCCAGCTGTCCCTAGGCTGGGCTCTTCCCCTGAGTGACAGCTCTGCACGCGCCGGCTGGGACTCCATGCGGCGACGTGCTGACAGCGTGCCTTCAGATGAGAGAAACTCCTTCCCCCGAGGAGTTCCCAGTCCAAAGCCTAGCACGGACTGGTGGGGAGAGGCAAAGGAGGCGTTAGTGTAATCACAGCGCCGTTTGCTGCCCCTCGCCCTCTTGTCTGTTTTTAGATTGCAGTAACTTTTCTGCCCCTTGTGAGGGTGTGAGCGAGTGGGGAACCTCCGGCTGTGGATTCCTGAACTTCTTCATCTCTCTGCATCAAAACTTAAAGGATTTTCGAGGGGAGCCTTAATTGGTATTAATCAGGTTCTGCCTTCTGGTCTCTAGTGCCATAGAGTACACGCCGTACGTGCAGCCGCTGCATACCGTGCTCCCTCGTTCCTCGGCCCTTTTCTGGAATTCATTAGGTAAAGAGCAACCACTTCATGCCTGTATGGTCTTTGGTTTCTCTTTTGGGTCTGCCAAAAATGCCAACAGGGTGTGTGCACAGCATGGATAAGTTGTCCGCTAGGACCTGGGCCGAGACAATCCCTCATTTCATATAAGCTCTGAACAGCCTTCAGAAGTGGCCATCTGTTACTCCCGGCCTGTGACAGATTTGAGCAGGAGATCTAGCTGGGAAAGGCTCTGCTTTCTATTCCCCTGAGCCATCACCAGGGAAAACCATCATTTTTTTTGTTTTCAAGGGCTAGTGGCGTGCACAAAAATGCATCCGTTGTATTTAAAGTGTGTGCAAGTGAGAGAGAGAGTGAGCGAGCATGTCACATGTATGTGCAGTTATGTATGTATAATTCACATAAATGCAGCTGCATTCACAACTCCTTCTCATTGCTGGCACGTGTACAATAGTTTCAACTCCTTGAAGTCACTGAAATCAGTCACTGGAGTGTTCTCAATCAGTGCCATTGGCTCAATGATAGTTTCCTACCATTTTAAGCCATGTGTTACATTAGACAGTCCATGAAACATCTTTGCTGCTGATGTTCTGACGTAGAGTTTTCAAATGTGTCGGTCTTCTACGTTCAAATGTGACCTGCACACTAAGGGCGCCTATACATGTGTAGCAAAGTTGCTCCAATGCACTGTAATTACAGTGCATCAGAGAAGACTCAGTTGTTGAGTCTGCTGGAGTATGGTAATTACCGTGCTCCAGCAGACTCCAGTGCCACGTGTATCAGCGTCCCTGCGCTGAAAAATGGCAGCAGGGACACTTTAAAGCTTGTTCGATGAGCTTTAGTTAAAGTGCCCCCGCCACCGTTTTTCAGCGTGGGGACACTGATACATGTGATGCTTTAGGTGCTTTAATTAGTGTGGCTCTTGGAGCCACTTTAATTAAAGCCCCCACTCCCGGAGCACATGTATAAATGCCCTAAGGAGTTCAGAGTTGCACTAAAAGTTAGTGGTACTTTGTCTTTTAAGTCAGGTAGGACAGAAGGAAGTCTGTGACCATGGGGAGTTTCTTCTTTCTCTTCAAGCGTCAGCCAAGATTGTTGATCCCTTCTGTCCTATCGCTAATGGTAGGGAAAAGGCAAAGCAGCCAGGTATATCAGGAGTGGCTTGGTTTTTCTTTGCATCTTTGTCCATGAGATCCCACTGAGGGTATGCCAGAACTTCAGGTCCACATACAACAGATCTATGCAGAGGGGACATCTGAAAGAGCCATAGATAATGGGAAGAAATAATCATTCCTTCCACTACACCAATGGTGCTCAACTTGTTAGACCTGAGACGCACCTTGTTCGACACAAGACTGAAGGCACCCCCCAGAAAATGTTGACTCTTAATTTGCACTCTTTTTTGGACTCCAGAAGAAAGTAGGTCGCTTTTCTGTTGCAAAGAGCTTAGAAAGACCACAGCAGGTCAGGATGTTTTTAACACCATGAATTCCTATTTGAAACCTCTGGGTTTATCTTGTGAATCATGTCTGCCCATCTAACATTGAAAGGATCTCAAAGGACCCTAGGGTGCTTTTTACAGGCTGCTGCACTGTGCAGAGACTTGCTAAAACCTTGTGTGTGTGGTTTTTAATTTGCCCCTGACTTGCAAATATTGCATGCTTTAATCATCATCAGTCCAGTGCTCAAACCTCCCCATTTTTTCTTTTAAATCAACAGGTACAGGGAGTTTAAATAGCTTGAATCTGCCAGAGGCAGCCACATACCGCAAACGGATACTGAGAGCATTAGAAACTTTTCCCACCTGTTGCACAGCGCAGGCAGCAGAAGAAAGTTGTTTTGTTTTTTTTAAAAGAGTGTCAACTGTAAAAACTGGTTCTTTCCTTGCATCCATGTGTTTGCTGTGATCTATACCTGCCTTGCTGAAGGTGTGCAGGGCACTGTGGAGTGAGGGATCTTTGCTAAATAGGGCACTTGCCCTAAAAAGGTTTGCAGTCTTCAGGCACTGCCTGTGAGAGCCCAGAACAGGGTAACGGAGCAGCACATGGATGTTGTAGCAGAGCTCTTTTTCATGGCGAGTAGGGTTTAGAGAGTCCTCTGATGGAGGAGAGGGATAGCTTCTGACAATATTCTTTGGGGTTGTCTTCATAAAGACAGGATTAGCCTTGCCTTGCGTTAGCTAGTGTGGTAACTCAACGCAGGAGCAGGTTAAAATCCTCATGATGGCAAGGCTTGCCTATAGTGTTTCACGTGCATTAGCAGGTGTAGGTAAACTTTAGGGTCCCCCCCAGTCTTTTCCCCAACCTGCCTTTTTAACCCATCTGGAAGGTACAGGTTGCTTTATTATTCCTAGGATTCACAGAAGCTAACTGCAACTAAGTGTGCACCATTTTTTTTCTTAGTGAAGATGGATCCACAATCCTCAAGAGAAGTGAGCATAAGTCTGCCGAGCCTTTGGTACATCACCTCCAGAGCTGCCCACCAGGTTGAGCTTGGCAAACTTTTCTTTCTGAAGGGTGACCAAAGGCTCAGAACTGGTTGGCCTCTTAGGTTCCACGCTGGCTTTGTAGCACAGGTTTGAAATCTTTCTCTGGCTGTGCACATGGAGCCAATTTGCCCTGGACACCATTAGAAAAGGTCTAATACAGAACTCCAGAAGAGCAATTATACAGTATCCCTCTTCTGAATGCAACCACCCTTCAAGTAAATGCTGCAGAGCTGGCCTAAGAAAGCCCATTTAAGTGAGGGATCTAAGAAGGTCCAACCTTGGATAGTCTATTTTCTGCCATATTATTCTGAACCAACAATTAGCATGAACCTGTTGCTTGGGTTGGAGGTTTTTTTCATTTCTCTCTCACACACATACACACAAAGACTTGCAGAAAAGAAAGAACCTGCATCTCTTGGCCTGTTTGTCAGCCATAAATGCAGCCCTGCCTGTTAGCTGAGAGACGTTCCCTCTTGAGCAAGTCAGCGACAAGAGGGGAAAGCATCTTCTAGGTGAAGCCAAGTAGCTGCTTTATATTTTCCCATGTTAAATCCTGTGTAGCATAAATTAATGTCCGTGTTCGTTTTGGATGTGGTGTGAAGTATGTTAATGTCTGAGGCTCTTTTTGAGTCAAAGTCCATTATAATCTTAAGAATCCTCCGAGACGTGTTTCAATGTCTGATGGGGTAGAGGGAGAGAACCTGGATTTTGGGAGCTTGCAGGCCTGGCACTGGGCTGCGATACTGAGCAGCCACCTCTGGCCTTTTGCTTGTTCCTCAGTCACCCTGGGAATAGCAGAGAGCATTTATGGGTGGTGGCCTCACTTTTTAGGAGACTAGTTTTCAGCAACCGCAGTTCTCACCCGCCCTTGCTTTCTAGGCTTTCCATGCCATATTATGCCAGTAGCATAAAGGTTTGCATGCAGTCACCTTGGGGAAATATGTCTTATGTTACTGATCCAAAAAGCCATGTATTCATACCTAGAATCATCTGCAGTCCTTTCCCATTCATGCTGTCCCACTTAGGTAACACCAATAGCATTTTGTATGGAGTTAGGAATATGTACCTTGTCACATCTAATGTAGTGATGAGGCTCCAGATGTAGACACCCAATATGGCTTTTAATTCCAAGAAGGCCAGAAGTAATTTGTGTTTGGCTATCTGTCCTCCATGAGGAAAGTGAAAAGGGCCTCTTTCCTATCCCCATGGGGGTTTTTGTGGCTATACCATGCCCAATGGTATTTTCCCCTTTGTTCAGCATTTTATGCCTGCATTTTGTCAGGGTTCCTAGCAGAAGACTGTTCAGGTGGCAAGTGGAGTCTAGCAGATGTTTCCACAGGTGAGTTGATTTTTTTGTGCTGGTTGTATGAAGTGTTGAGTTTCAGCTTCTGGTTGGTATGACTGGCACGACTGGTTTCTTTATGTTTCTGAGCACCTGGGCTATTTCTTGGGCTGAGGGACCCACCTGTCTGTCTCCCCCCTTCCCTCACTCTTTAATGGGAGGGGAATCCTAGAAATCAGATGCAGGTTTACCACAGGGGTTGCATTTCTACACTTTGGGCTAGATCCAAATCATTCTCACAGGCACCTGTTGGGCTTCAGTGGAATGAAGGCCCCTAAGTCACAAAACAATTGAGATTGATCCTCTCCCCCTTCTGACAATCGGAGGACTGCTTAGGACCCACAATCATTAGCTCCCTCCTAAAACATTTCCTCTGTGTTTTTGCCTGTTGTTGACTTTTCTCAAGCATCTAGAGATCAAACTCCTGCCTAAGCCTCATTGCAGTCCAGATCAAAGGTACCAAAACTCTGTCTGAGTCCTTCCACTGTTAGTTGTTCCCAGAACCTGCCTGGTGCCTGTTCAATGCTGCCAACGTACGCACGCAGCACCCCGTGGGCTCTGGTCATTGGGGCAGTGCCTGCCTCTTGCACCATAGCCTTGTGCTTCCACTGCCCCTGAGGGGACTCCAACCCACACCCCTCACTTCCCAAGAGAGTGCCCCCCGCATGAGGCTGCAGGCTAGTTTGGATGGATAACCCCACATTACTCCTGTTGAATAATGGGTACTCTAGACTGCAAGAGTCATGTGGCAAAATGAGAGCGAGCAAGGGAGAGCCTGACTCTGTAGCCCCGAGAGAAGTGCAGGGGCCAAGCAGGGTAGCCCAGGGTTATTTCTGTTTTTAATTAGTAATTATTGGATATAAAATGCACACATTTTGTTACTGAACTCAGTGGTGCTGTCAGTGCTGTAGGTGTCCTGGTCAGGCAGGTGCCTTCTGCCTCGGTGCTCTCAATCCTGGGATGATGGTGGGCACCTCGCATGCAGCCCTGGGTCAGACACCTAATTTCCAATGGGGGAGGGTGGGACTTCAGACATGCCTCTTTGTCTAGCACATCCTATTAACTCATCCTGAGTACCTGCCTGCTCAGCACTTAAGCTCTCTGGATCCCTGTATGGAGATGGCTGCTTGTCTCCATTGACCATATAGGGATCCTAAGCGCCCAACTTTTTGCACTCAAGATGCTCTCTCAAGGCAAGGCCCCTCTGTGATCAGTATTGCAATGGTCAAGTGAAAAGTAGTTAAGAGGATGATTTGGACCTGGTCTCCTGCCAGATTCACTGATCCAGGCTTGAGTAGCAAGCAGAGGTGCGAGGTAGATGTACACCTGCATGTTGGGAGTGCCAGGACCCTGCAGCTCTCCTTACTAAGGCTAAACTCTCATGGAAATCAGTGGGATTGTTACCCAAGCCAGGAGTTAGCCTGGGCTTGGAATGGGTATTTCACTGATATGTAAGTAACAACACAGGGTGAGGGCAGTGGGTGTGCGATTCAGCATCTTAAGGAGCATGTCTATAAAGTACAAAACACAAGAGTTGAACAGAGCAAACCCCAGAGCCAACTGCCACCAACCCATAGGGGCTGAGAACCTGTAGACATACCTGCTCAGTCTGAAAGCCCCGTGAAGGTCAGGGTGAGAGTACAGGCATGCATGATAGACCTGTGAGCTCCAGCGTACCTGTGTGTACTCCCCAGACCTTTGCTGGTCTTTCACAGACCAAGTAGATATGTCAGTACAGACACCTTCCTGTGTAGCTACATGAATAAAGATAGCATGCATCTCTGATAATACTTATCTTGGTCTGTGAGGAAGGCATGCTGAGGGCCTGAGCACAGCAGCCCTAGGTGCTGCCATAACTCGTCCTGCATTTCTTGGATAATTATATGCACCGGTGGAGTAGAAGCCACTCTTAAAAGTCCCTCTTAAAATTGTTTGAAATTTAAAAGACCCAAGGATATTTTTTTATTAGACCTGTATAGCTGGGAGAGCTGGTGGACAAGCTTTCAGGCTGCAACTACCCTTCCTCAGGATTAAATAAATTTTAAAAAGCCCTTGCAAGTTCAAATGGCTTTTGTGTAGATTTTAGACTCTTCGAAGTTGGTTTTGTCCTTCAGATGAAATTAATAAAGCTGCTATGTCACTTTTAAATGGAGCTCCACCTTCCTCCTCAAGAACAAGCCGTTGCTATTAACAAAGTCATCTAGAGAATATGGGGTTCTAAAATGGGTATTTTAAAAGGACAAATCAGCCTAGGTATATAATGCTTACTTTATGAAAAAGCCCTGTAGACTTTACTAGGGATTGTACAAATACATTTTTGTAGGCAATATAATAGGATTCTATACCAATGGCTTTGAAAACCTCTAGAATTTAAGAAAAAAAAATTTGCACTATGGTTAACAGATTTTTCAAGGGGTAACACAGAAGAGAGTTATTAAAATGTTTACGGAAAAATGTAATGAGACTCATGCACTATTAAGTGACTCTCCAGAAGCTTTAAAACGCATCAACCAGGATCATGGCATTTTGACCAGTTTCAGACATCACTGTTCTGGCTGTACTTGTATTTGAAGACCCAACAGGACTGGACTCCAACTGAGTAGGTGTTTTCCATCTCTAATTCTTATGAAGCGTTGTCCTGAGAAATCCTCTCTAAAACAACCTTTGCTCCCTTTCCTGTATCATTTAATTCTCATTCTCTTTTAAGTAAGTTTCTAAATTTAGTAAAAGATGGAAACCATGTTGTTCCCCACCCCCCAGCATTTTTAGCTAGTTATCAGAAATGCCTGGCAACGATGCAGACAGCTGATCTGACCAGGTTTGCCCTTCCTTACACTGCAAAGCCAGCAGATCGAGGGAACTCAGCAGCATGGTAGCTTAGTACGTAAAATGTTCACTGGTGACATCCTACAGCATTAGGAAGGGCTTGGGTCACAAGGGGAAGCAAACAGGTTTGGTCTCCTGCTCCCATACAGAAATTGGCCAGTCACTTGAAAGAGGCCCCAAATTAATATCTTAAGTCTGCACAGGGGCAAAGCTGGGCAGGGAAAACTTGCCTAGTGTGTGTTAACACTGTGTTCCTCTCTCGTTTTTGAGCTCTAGTTACTCTCAGCATCCTCCAAAGATGAGGGAGGGACAAGTGACCTAACCAACAGGTGTCAGCTCCAGGCTTGGACTTGGTTTACCACAAAAATGCCCAAGCTTCTGCTTTGCTACCTCTTCCAGCCCTGCTCACTTTTCAGCGACAATAAAACAATTGTTTCAGCTAGAGGGTGATGAAGCACTGGAACGGGTCACCTAGAGATGTTGTGGAATCTCTGTCCTTGGAGCTTTTTAAGCTTGACAAAGCCCTGGCTGGGATGATGTAGTTGGGGCTGGTCCTGCTTTGAGCAGGGGGTTGGACTAGATGTGACCTCCTGAGGTCCCTTCCAACCCTTGTTTTCTATGAGTCTATGAAATGCTTGGGCATTTTGAGGCATCCTCTCTGCTATCTCTTCCCAAAAGGGAGCTGAATGTAAGAAAGTTTGGTCCCCCAATAAGCACGATTTACTTTCTCTCTCCAAAGACAGCAGTAAGTGCAAGAAATAATGCTGACAAGCTCTGCAGAACTTCCCCTCCTGGCCTCCAGTTCCTTGTGTAGAAAGGGGACCCCTGGCTTTGGCCCATGCTTGCTCTAGCCAGAGAAGTGGCGGGGTAGGAGATGCTGGGAGAGAAACGTCTACTAGCACATTGTCACAATAGGTTTTGCTCTCAACAAGAAATGGGGGGAGGAAATCAAGGCCAAGAAAACACATCTAGGGATCTTAAGCTGAGTGGGTTGATTCTTCAAGTCCTGAGCAGCCAGCAGCTTCCAGTAAAAATAAGCTAGTTTAGCGGGAGCAAAGCGATCCCTGAATGCAGGGTGCCTTGGAGTCCAGCATGTGCCACTGTCATGAGGCAGGGCGGAGAGTTCCCACTCACCTGATCGCTGTTGGGTCCTTGAGCACTTTGTCTGCCTCACGCTATTCTGACTAAGCAGAGGAGGAAGGCATGCTGCAGGAACAGGATGAGCCAGGACAATGGGAAAAGTGAGTCACCGTCAATTTTAAGTAGCACTTGGCAGCCATATGGCAGGTAATGCTGGCGGCGTCTATAAAGTGGCAGTTTGATGCATGTAGCTGTGTGTGTGCAGGGCTTCAGGGGCAGACTACCCTGGCTGCAGAATTGCTGTCACTTTCCTGGGAAGTTTTCATTTATTGGATGAAAACCATAGGGTTTTTGTTTTGCGTGCTGTGCTTGGCTGACAATCCAAGGACCAGTCCAGGCCGAAGCCTCAGCATGGCCATGAACAGGTATGTGTTTCTAGCAGTGGAAATTTTCCACCACTAGAAATAAGTCTGGGAGATGGAGCAGCACAGGCATTCAGCCTGCAACTGCCTCTTCTCCATCGCTTCTCATGCCCTCCTCAAACTGGGATCATCCTGGTCTGGGGAAAGCGTGGGGAGTGGTGGCTGCTCCAGTTCTCCTGGTCCTTGGGCATAGTGAGCAGATCAGGGGCTCTAGTGTAAGGAGCAGGTGGGGAGCAAACAGCGACTGCTTCTCTGCCCGCTGCTAGTGCCCAGCAGCAGAGCGAGAGTGGACTAAGCAGTGCAGCAAAGCCCCTGCCTGCTCCTCCCCCAGTCTGTGGGAGGGGCAGGAGCAGCTCCTCCCCATGCCTCCTCCAGACCAGGGTGACCGCAGTCGCAGCCCTTCACCACTCAGTTCCTCTGGGTTCCCGGAAGGAGTCAAACAGCAGGGAAGTGTACATATGTTCATTCTCCCAGGAGAAAGTCTGCTGGGGGCAACTTCTACCAGGTTGGAGATGGATTATTTTTCTCCTGGAACAGCCATTTTTGTTCCTGGAGAAACCATATGGATGCCTTCAAACTCATGGTTTCTACTGGGAAAGTTGAGATTCTCCCAGTAGAAATATAATGTCATACGTGACCTGTGTTTTATTATAAATCACGGGTCAGGATCTGCAGCTTCCCCTTTCTGGCTAAGTCTCCATCCATAAACTACCCTGCTGCCGCCGCTTTTCTTTTTGCTGTTCATTTGTTCTGTAAGTCCCCCTATTTTTGGGTGGATCTGTTCTGTTCTAGGTTGTGCGTGTGTGCAAGAGAGTGAGAAATGGCTTTTCCAGAAGCAAATGGGGATTTAAAAGCACATTTGAGGTCATAAAGGCTTGCAGCTTTTTTCTCAAACCAGTGCTGGGTGGAGCAGTTTCCACCTTTCCTGCCTGAGAGGTGCTGTGGGGTGACTGTAGTGCAGTGTGAGAATACCGTAAGGCTGAGACATGGTGTTGGGGGCTGTCAAATGCCCCAGCCTTTTAATCTTGAGGGGAAAAAAAAGAAAGCACTTTAAGCAATCTCCGCCTCCAGGTTGTTTCTGCAGGACAAAACCCCTGGAGTTGTTGCACCTGTATCCTGTCTCGGCAGGTGTGTAGTAGGAGGAGGGTAACTACTTTGCATGGTGTCCAGGCATGGTCTCCTCCCTTCCTCCTGTTCCTCATGCCTGGTTAATTTACAGAAGCCCCTATTTTACTCTTAGAGATTTTCAAATTCTCTGATGACCTGAAGCATCTTCACTGTTGATTGCCTAATTGATGACCCACTAAAGGGGTCTGATTCTTTTTATCCAGAACGCGGAAGGGGAAAAAGAGAGCTGGGTCCCCTTAATGCATCTCAAGTTGAGCTTCCAAAAATGTACCTTTTTCACATTTGGAGATCATGGTAGACCCATCTCCCAGCCGGAGCAAGAGGGGTTCTGTAATGGGGCAGTGCAGTGTTACCAAGGACAGTGCCAGATGGTCCCCGGCTGATGGCATGATGGTCTCACTTCTTGCTCAGACTTGTAACCTGGGCATTGTCTTTGACTCCTCTCTCTTCTTGGCCCCACACACCCCAGCTGTGTCCTGTTCTGTAACATCTCTGAGATGGGACCTGTGGACAACTACAGTGTCATCCTCTCCCAGTTTGATGATTGCATCCCCCAGTCCACATCGAATCCACGCACAACACGTAGTGTTGGGGTCATACCCAGCCCTTGCTGCGGCCTCCCCTTGACTGTGTCAGACACAAGGCTTGCGTTCCCACCTGTACGGCCTGGCTCAGCCCTGCTCCTCCCTCTGTCCAACACCTGCCGGCTAGCATGCTCCCCAGGCCTTCCAGTGGCCGCTAGCAGTGTTGGCCTTTGTCTGCATCTCTTGCAGGCACCCTTTTGGGCTTCCTTCCAAACAGCCTCATTTCTCCCCTCACCCCAAACTAGTCACAAAGGCCCTCTCTTTTCCTTGCTATTGTGATGCTCTGGGTAGCTGAGAGCGGCCTGCTGGGACCACTGCTGTACCCAGTATTTGTGTGACACTGCACAGCCAGCCTCTGCAGATGCATCTCATGCATCTCCCACTAGTTTCCTCCTCCCATTCTCATCCTCCCACTAGTTTCTTACACTCTTGGGCTCTCTGGTTCTCATTCACATTGCAAACTGGGGCAGGCAGGAGCCTCCACCGATTATGCGTGTGCTGAGCCCTAAGGAGCCCTGATCAAGACCTGGTTTTTGGGCACTGTCCCAAAGCAGGACACGCTCATCCCAGCTGCACCCTCCTGCTCCAGAGCCATGAGCACCCGCTCCTATTGTCTCTGTGGCTTGGTGCATTATTAATAATGTTTGTTCCCAGCCCTTCACCAGGTGGGAGCAGGGCTGAACCGCAGCAGAGCCGTTCAGCCAGCAAGCAGCTGCATGCCTCTCACTCCCCCACAGTGATGGGGAGAGCGCTTTCATGGAGCTGGCCCGACTCGCAGGTCTGTCGTGGGAAAGATGCAGGAGTTTTTGGCCTGGGGATTTCCTGGTTAATACAATTGAAAGGGTCCAGCCTCAGTGCTTGAGGGGACCACGTGCCAGCTAGATTAGGGCTAATCAGAGCCCAGCGCAGGGACAATCCTGGCCCTGATGACGGTATTGCAGCAGTTTAATCGTCTTTCTCCCAAGGGCGATCATCTCTGCCGCCCTCGCGCCTCTCCTCTTCCTCTGGGTTGGTGCTGCTGTGTCAGATGCTGAGGGGATTTAGCTTAATCCTGTGCCAAGGGGGCCGTGCGGGCCTCTGTCTCTTGGACGCTTCCAAGGTGTGCTGTGGCATGGGGCTGAGGCAGCACCCATGCTGCCATCTTTCCACCCTAGGCCTGTCTCCCTAGTGCTTTTCTCTGAAAGGCAGCAGCTGCTCCCTGCTGTACACTGGCACCTGTCTTGGGATCAGGCACACTCACCTTGTGTGCCCCTGGCTGCTAAGGGGATCAGACACTTGCAATAGCAAAGTCTTTGGAGGTCTCCGGGTAGTAGAACGTGCCCTAAAAAAAATGCCAGATGTAGGACACGGATGCAGCCCCTCTGAATTTCTGCAGTGGGTAGATGCTTCCTAGGGTTACTCTGAAACACAGGTGTTGGCAGAGCACATTGAGGGCTGAGATGAAAAGTGCAAGAGAAGTGCACGGTCCCGTGAACTCTCTGCCACCCCAGCCCCCGGGTCAGCCACCTGCACAGGGCAATTAAGACTTAATCCTTCCTGTCTGCACAGTAAGCGGTGCAGGGATACTGAATAACTACTTCATGGGGCCACGCACTCAGGCCTTGGCCGGTGAGATGTGGCTTGATGCTGCAAAAGATCAGGAAGGAATTTGCCCCCATGGTCTGATCAGTATAGACTGCAGGGGTTTTGCCTCCCTCTGCAGCAGGGGATGTGGCCCTCTCCAGGGATCTTTTGAGTGTGTTTTAGCAAACTCCCTTCTTGTCCTTGCAGTAGCAGGACACTGGCAGTGCCCTCATTCCCCTCTTTACCTGCAGCGAGTTGGGCTGTCTTTGGTGTTTCGTGTGGTGTGCCTGGTAGCTGTGTATGAGGGTTATTCCCAAAGTTTTTAAGAATAGGCTCAATGCACCCTGGTCTAGTCAAGGCTAACTTCCTTGAGCAGGGGGCTGGACTAGACATGACCTCCTGAGGGCTCTGCTAGCCCTGCTTTTTCATCTCTCCTGCATTGTACAAGTCACAGGCCTGTCAGGACAGGAGCCCATTATTTCCTAGAGTTTGATTGGCCCAGCCCCAAGACCTGAATGAATGGCAAACCTCTATGGATGGATCTGGGGTTTTGAAAAGTGGGGTGCAAATGGTGTGGGGCATCATCACCTGTAGCACAGTGTGCATTTTTTCCCAGTTAAAACAGAATGAGACGCTTTACTAATACACTGGGGGCAGGAACAATATTATTCAGTATAGGATCAAAGCAAAACTGAATACAACTACTGAAATGTGCACTAAATTGCTAGATTATATAAAACATTTTTAAAAAACCACAGCAAACTAGGTCAAAAACAGTAAAAAGATATTGCGCTGTTAGTCCTGTAGTCATCGTAGTTAAATGTACATCTCTTCAGAGTCACAAAACAAAATCTAGCTGCCTCCATGCCTCCAGTGCTTCACTGTCAGTCATTTCTACATATGAGTTAAAGTTACCTCACCTGAATTAAGGTTTTTAGCTGGAGCTAAGAACAGTCTGCAGGGCTGTGAAACAGGAGAGAGACATTCCCAGGAAGGGCTAACAGATGGCAACATTGCAGAAGAAAGGATAGTTTGACTAGTGGACATCAAGACGGTTAAAAGGGAGAGAGGGCTGTTAACACCTATGGAGTGGAGAGAGATTAGCAGGAACCAGGAAGATGACAAGGAACCATGAAGTCAATGGACTCCCTCACAGCTGCCTGAATAGAAACGCTTCTGCTCCTTTGAGGCAGTTGGTTTGAAAGTTTGGGTGGAGCAGGAATCAAAGCGGGGTGCAACTGCAGCACTGTCCTCCCCCCTTCCTCCCCCCAACCAGATCTGTGCCTGCAAACACCCATCTTTTGCTTTTTGTCTCCCCAGGCCTCGTCCAGATCCCCGTGAGCATGTACCAGACTGTGGTGACGAGCCTTGCGCAGGGTAACGGTCCCGTGCAAGTCGCCATGGCGCCTGTCACCACGCGGATAGCAGACAGTGCCGTCACGATGGATGGGCAAGCCGTGGAGGTTGTGACCTTGGAACAGTGATGCTGCCGCAGCAGGATCATTCTGGTGTTTTTTTCTCGTCTCTTACGCGAATAATTTTTTTACGCCTCTCCAGAGATGCAGTCAGGTGGCACCGAGGCTCGCGGCTGGGGAAGCAAAGGTTTTGTTAACCTTTTTTTAAAAGGAGGGAAAAAACAAATAGCAGAGGATGTGTGTTCAGTGCATTTTTATAGCGCCGCTCTGATCCCGCAGGAGTGAAAAGCCCATTGCTGACTGGACTTTCCTTCCGCCGAGATTTAAAACCAAAATGCAGCTCCACTCCCCCAACCCCCCGACCCCCAGCCCTCCACCCC